TGTTCTAGTTCTTGTTCTCAATATTCATAGCAATTATCAACCTTCGGGATGGTTGAGTGTTATAGCCGCTCCGCACAATACAAACACCCATCGAACATGCATAACCGAAACAATCTAGAGAAGCGCTCATACTCAAACACCCAACACCGCTAAATGGAGACCCAAAAGGATTTGAAACTATTGGAAATGAAAGCTCTGAAACTATTTATAAAGATTTTAGCTCTAAAACTACTCAAGGAACATCCAAACCGAAAGATCAACCACCTATGGAACACCTAACCCAAAGATCAAAGCAACACCCTAAGCAAACCTAAAAAACTACATTTGATGAGGAGGGATTCAAGTTTATTTAAAATAAAAAGGAACACACGCATGTAGAAAGGAGCTAAGCTAGCCGGCCGCCATGGCCATTGGTGATGGGTGGCCAATGGTGCCAGTGGTGAAACCTGTGGTTTTTAGAGAGAGAGTATTTAGAAAGAGAGTTTTTGATGGCTTGTGAAATTGGAACAGGTGAGATCCATATGATGATGTTAGTTATGATATTATTTTGGTTATGATTTAAAAGTTGTTTAGTTATACTTTATGTGGTATTTGGTTATAATTTTTTTTTTTTAAAGTTATTACAGTCATGGAATTGAGTTATATCATTTGTAACAATTAATCCCACAAATGTCATAATTTGCATATCATATATCATAACATTATGGTCACGTTTGTTTGGCTCCATAGGATGGAAAGGATTAAGAGTACAGTGGGATTGAGTGGGGAGATTATTAGTGTGGTGGTATTTGGTTAGATATGTAGGATAAAGAGTGTTTGTTTGTACACCACTAGATTAGTTTTACTATAGATATTATTAATATATAAAATCAATATTTTTTAAGTTTTAGTATTTCTTTTAATATTATAAATTTTTTTAATCCCCAAAAATATAAATTTTCCTTAAAAATCATTTAAAATTTCACTTATCCTCTCACTCAATTTCCAATCCCAACTCTTCTATGACTTTGTTAGTCCTAACACATAGGGGGATTACTAGTCCAAGGGGATAATTAATCTCTTCACTCATGTCTCCAACCAAACACCCTTTAGGTGGGTCTCACGGACTATTAGTCCAATCCTCCTTCCTAAAGAACCAAACAAATATGGCCCTATATCTTTGTCTAAGGGCAGTCCAATCCTCCTTCCTAAAGAACCAAACAAATATGGCCCTATATCTTTGTCTAAGGGCGACGCTACGGCATAGTCAAGGTTGTCACCTTAACCCCTGAAAAGCACAACAAAAAAAAAAAAAAAAAAAAAAAGGTAATAAATATTTGGGATATTTACCAATAAATCTCATCTCACAAACAAATACTTCAATTAGTCACAAGTTTTCTCTATTGATCTGTTAAGTCTTATTAGTGGAGAGTTTCTTTTTGTGTGATCTTATTTTTAATTTTGATAGTGTTTTGGTGGACAACTATACATTTTTATTAATGTGACAAGTATGATGTGATGCTCCAATGTGACAAGTATTAATATGACATTTGAACGATGTGACACTTTAAAAAAATTATAACTTCCTTAGTGTACTTCACCTAAATGTTACAATATAGCAGGTATGATGTGACACTCTAAAAGTAATAATAATTTCTTAGTGTACTTTTTCTAAATATGACAACATGGCATGTATGATGAAACATTTCAAAAAAAATAAGAACTCCTTGGTTTACTTTTCTCAAATGTGACAAAGTGGGTATGATGTGACACTCTAAAAAAATTAAAAACTCGATAGTATACTTTTTTCAAACGTGACATGTGACATTCTAATATATAATGTCACACTCTAAAAAAATTTAAACTTAAAATTGTGGTGTTGACGCTGGTTTTGAACTCCACTAATTTGAATCCATAAATTTACATATTAGAAAATATTTTAAAATATTTCGAATCGGCTTCCTTGTAAGTCTATCCAATTGAAGCAATTGGCAAGAGATTGGGTCTAAATTGGTTTATTTATAAATAAATCAATCACTAACATGTAATCGTCTATATTATTGTAAATAAATTTAGAGGTAATATATTAAGAGTCTTTAAGTATTTTTTATTAGAAATATTTTTCGAACTTCAATAATTTGGTTTTAAGTTTTCTTTCACTCATCACTCTATTTTAGCCTATTTGCTTGTAAAATTGACGTTGAGAAATGAGTGTTTCTAACAATACAATTTATAAAAATAGATTGCCTAATTGTATAGGAGATTAATAGATGAATACTTTTTTGTTTCACATATTGAAAAATAATGTGTAACCGATCTCATTTGATAGAAATTAAGGGTTGATTTAGTCTGGTTTAATTTATATTGAAAAATGATGTATTTCTTAGTATTGATAATGATATGATACTTTATTGACGTCAATTGTAAAACTCATGTATCAGTTTTTTTTTTTTTTTTTGGAAAGAGGTAGTTTTTTTTTTGGAAAGAGGTAATGGTAGGGGTGTAAATTTGGTCCAGCCCGACCTGGCCCATCCATGCCCGGGCTCGGGCTCGGGCTGGCCCATGTAGGGCCACGCAAGCTCCTACCAAAATTCATCCGGCCCACAGGTTAAAAAATTAGGCCCAGGTCCAAGCTTATGGGGTATTCGAGCCTTAGGCTAGTCGGTGGGCCTGGGCCTAGCCCTGGACCTGAACAATTTTTTATTATTTTTCACTAAAATGACATTGGGCCTTGGTCGAGCTGGGCATCAGATTGGGCTTTGAGTAGGCCATGAGCAGGCCAATGGGCTGGGCTAGGTGAGTTAGGCCCACGAGTCGAGTCAAGTTTCAAAATGACGGCCCAGGTCCTGGCTCAGAGTCCCAGGCTGGGCTCGGGCTCGGGCCGCTTGTGGGTTTCGAGCCACCGACAGGCCGCGGACAATCTTTACACCCCTAAGTTATGAATACGATTAGTATAAATTTTCTTTTTTTTTCTGATTTATAAAATTTAAATTTTAGATTGACACCACTAACGAAAATTTTTAAAGTCGTCACTGCTTTGTCTTTATATAGTACCCATACTATATTTATGTATATTTTGTATTGTGCTGTTTGCCTTATCAGCTTTAAGCAATTCATTGGTCATCTATAATTTATAAACACATAAATAAATTATATTTTATTTTATAAAATGAATGAAAAAATATTATTATAAACTCAAGCCATTTATTTTATAAAACAAAATACAATTTGTTTCATATTTATAATTGTCCGAAAAACCAATTTTTTACGAGACTTACGAAATAAATAGTTTGGATCATCTATATATCCAGGTTAGAGAATACAAGAAAAGTATAGATAAATGTAGAGAGATAAAATATGAAGAGAAATTTATTCCTAATTAATTGACACATTTCATATTTTATTTTAATATTTTTTAATTTTTCAACATAAAAATGATGTGTTCGACAAATTTAAATAAGAATAATGCTAGAAACCTAAAAATTCTACTAAAATTTTTATCAATTATCTCATATGGGTGTGAGACTCGCATAATGTAAGTCCCTTTATGAATACTGTGTGGATCTCACACCCATATAAAATATTTGATAAATTGTAATAAAATTTTTTAGATCTGTAAGATTTTTGTTTAAATAATAACTATTAGATTGAAGCACCGCTACTGAATTTATTTCTCCGTCTTCCCACTTTATTTCCAACCATATTAAAATGAGTAATATTATATATTTCAAAAATTTTATTAAAAGTTTTATTAAATATATATAGGACTTACACAATGTGTGTCTCATATAAATTTTACACTTATACGAGATATTTGATAAATTTTTTGAAATCTCTGATATTTTTGCATTAAATTATTACTTTATTATCACACACGTTTCACGTTCTTTTTTCACGTCCCCTTCACTTCCCAATCGTGACCACCCACTCACTCCATCTCCATTCTCTATAATTAATATTATCAATTATCAATCTCTCTCTCTGTGTAGTAATTTTATTTAATTATTATGTTATTTAAATTTAAATTAAAAATTTATTGTCACTTTATTTTATTTTTTTACTTAAATAATTGAATTATTTATTTTACTGAAATATTTTGTTACAATAAAATTATGTATATTTTAATTATAACATTACGCATTATATTTTTATACCATATTATACTTATCATCGACAATACAATATTAATTTAATAAATCTCACTATGTTTTCAACAAAAGGCTATCATATCATATAAAAAAATAAAATAATAAAAATAAATAATTATTACAATATTACTCATATTTTAACGTCGTTTTGCATATCTTATTCGATTAAAATAATAAAAATAAAAAACAAAAATACCACAAACTTAAAAAATTCACGTAAAAAATTATTCAAAAAAGTGAATCAATAGATTACATTCATTTTGATTGTTGCCTATATTTTACTAATTTTAAATGTATACCATATAATAAAAATGTTAGGTATCATGAAAAACCTTTCATGAAAATAATCATGAAAGTTTTGTGATTCTTGGATTATACTTAGAATAAAGTAGCATACACTAATCAAGGTAATTCAAAGATCATAAATCTTTCATAATCATTTTCATAAAAAAAATTTCACGACCCCTAAAAATACCACAAACTTAAAAAATTCACGTAAAAAATTATTCAAAAAAGTGAATCAATAGATTACATTCATTTTGATTGTTGCCTATATTTTACTAATTTTAAATGTATACCATATAATAAAAATGTTAGGTATCATGAAAAACCTTTCATGAAAATAATCATGAAAATTTTGTGATTCTTAGATTACACTTAGAATAAAGTAGCATACACTAATCAAGATAATTCAAAGATCATAAATCTTTCATAAACATTTTCATAAAAAAAATTTAACGACCCGTAACTTTTCTTGTATAGATATATATATTTTCAGAGAATTCTTATCCTAACTTCTAAGGCCTCCCCTTAACTACCACTCTTCATCTCTATAAATTCAAATATACAGAGAATTCTTATCCTAACTTCTAAGGCCTCCCCTTAACTACCACTCTTCATCTCTATAAATTCAAATATAAGGATTTGTTTGTTTCATCATACATATACTGGGGTTACATATAGTATCAACCTAGCCAAAACTAGCCATGGCTAGCCCAAAAGATTGGCCAGAACCAGTAATCCGTGTTCAATCCTTGTCCAACATGGCAGCCATCCCAAACCGCTACATCAAACCTCCACGAGACAGACCGGCGATAAACTCGATCCAAAATGATGTTAACATCCCCTTAATTGACCTACAGGGAGTATTTGGCGATGACAGTGCTCTTACAGCAACCATTCTGAGCCAAGTATCGGAGGCGTGTCTCGACTGGGGATTCTTCCAGGTTGTGAACCATGGTGTGAGCCCTCTTCTGATGGACCATGCTCGGGAGGTTTGGCGGCGGTTCTTCCACCTCCCCATGGAAGAGAAGCAGGTTTACGCCAACTCACCGAAGACCTACGAAGGGTATGGAAGCCGGTTGGGGACACAAGAGGGTGCCATTCTTGACTGGAGTGATTACTATTTCCTTCACTACCTTCCTATGTTGTTGAAGGATCATGAAAAGTGGCCTGCCTTGCCATCTTCTCTTAGGTGATTTGCTCTTTCATCAAATTTTTGTGTCACATAAAATATGACTTGTTCTACTTCTACCCTAAGTAGTTATTATATCATATCTTATGTATCTATATTGTCTGTATTGTTATATATTGGGTGCAGTTTCTTGGTATGAATACCTTTGTCACAATTCTTTTAATTCATAAATTATCCTCCTTTTATAATTATCAAATTTAAACACACTTATGAGTTTATTATTATTATTATTATTATTGATCTCTAACTACATGTCTCAAGCACGCATATTTGAATTGGCTTCCGTGTATAGTTTTCTTTATCAATTTTGGTTGTTTGTACTGTTTTATGATGTCTTTTACGTGTTAAGTTTACTGTGCAACAAACTACATATTTGGACTTTACTGATCTAATACTTTAGACTAATGATCGAATATTAAAAATATTGTGCGTATAACATTTGATGTTTTTTGCCCTCTCTTCTTTCACTTTTTGGTTTTGATCTTTGTATCTCGTTCTGTTGATTTGCATCAATAAAACTTTTGCTTATCAAAAAAAAAAAAACATTCACCTTATTTGTTTCCAGTTTTCAGAAAATTTTATTTTTTATTTTTCGTATTTTAATATTTTGAATGAATTTTTTTAATATTTTAAGCGATTTTTTAAAATTTTTAGACACACCTAACATAAATAAACTTAAAAAGTATAATATTTGTGAAAAAAAAATATTTTAAAAATACACTAAATACCAAAAAATACAAAAAAAAATGAAAATTCAATATATTTTTTGTTTTTTGTGTATTTATTAATTTTTTAAAATATTTTTTCACAAATATTTTACTATTTAGAAACATTTAAGTAAGGTGCATCTAAAAAAGTAAAAAAAATTACTTAAAATTTAAAAAATATTCACTAAAAACAAAAAAATAAGAAAAAAAAAATTCGATTTTTAAAAAACTGAATTCAGAAAACTGAAACTAAGCACACTGATTTTTATTTAGGAACAAAGTTTTAAAAATATTGCTAATAAAAAAATAACACCCAATTAGTACACATTAATGCGTGTTTGGAAGTGGAAAGATTGGGTACACACCTGACCTCTGTCATAGTGCACAAAGTGATTGTCCCGTGACTTGAACTCATAACCTCAAAGTTATTAGGTTAAGGTTTTACTATTGAATAACTTTTTTTCCAATTTTCTTTTTAATCTTTTTTGACAAAATTTAGTCTCAAAAGAATAATAATTCATTATAAAATATCAAATTTTGTCACGTTTTGGAAACAAAAATGTTTGGTCATTAAAAAGTGCTTTTATTCTTAAAAAAATGTTAGGAATCTCAAATGTTTTACCAAATATTCTAACAAATATCTCATATGCGTATGATCCCACGTGGGTGTGCACTCCTAGTGGAAAAAATAAAGATTAGAGAAGTTAAAACAAAACATCCACATAAGCATATAAAAACGATCGATAAATTTTAATGTGATTGTAAAGATTATAATGAATTTTCTCTCATAATATAATTATGTTACAGAAATTCACACATCATTATTAACCTTAGAATCTCAAAAATAAACCAACATACACAAATATTAATATATAATATATCACTATATATATTGGTGTTGGTATGCTTCTCATCTCCACTATTTTTAAATAGATGAACTAGACACCTAAAAAAATATCAAGAAAATCATCTTGAAAATAGAAGATGTGAACTAGGTTTATTCTGTATGACTCATGTGACAATAAATTTCATTTTATACCACATTACTTTATTTTTTAAATATTTTTCAATGGCTTTTTTCGAAATGAGTAGTTTTTTCCATATAAACCCGAAACTGGTAAAAACCTCTTAAAATTCATAATGATGTGTTGATAATGCACTGAGATCTCCATGCCAATTGTAGATGCATGCATATCTACTGTTCTTAATAGTTATGACCATGAGAGTAGTTACGTATCATATTACTGGTTAAGTATTAGAATTTTAAATTTTTTATATCATTATTTATTGATATATTGATCGATACTATCTAATATTCACTGATTTATGATTGTATCGCCAATACTGATACATGTCCCGATATTATTATCTAAAACCATAGATGGGTGTTTTTTAAATTTTTTATATCATTATTTATTGATATATTGATCGATACTATCTAATATTCACTGATTTATGATTGTATCGCCAATACTGATACATGTCCCGATATTATTATCTAAAACCATAGATGGTATTGAACACGGGTGGAATGTTTGGATGCAGGGAAGTGATAGAAGAGTATGGAGCAGAGGTGGTGAAGCTGTGCGGGGTATTAATGAAGGTTTTATCGATGAACCTTGGATTGGGAGAGGAATATCTACAGAAAGCGTTTGGTGGGGAAGATATTGGAGCATGCCTGAGAGTAAATTTTTACCCAAAGTGTCCACAACCAGACCTCACTCTGGGGCTGTCTTCTCACTCAGACCCAGGTGGCATGACACTTCTCCTCCCAGATGACCAGGTCCCTGGCCTTCAAGTCCGTAAAAGCACCACCTGGGTCACTGTGAAACCAGTTCCCCATGCCTTCATTGTCAACATTGGTGACCAAATTCAGGTCCTCTCTCCTCTAATTTTTTGTTGTCTAGTAACTTGTCTAAGATTTTTTGAGGCCACATGTTAACTATCTAAATGAGATATTATCTTACTGCACATCCAAAAAAATTATACCTTAAGTAATAAGAATTATTTTACATTTTTCTAGATGAGTCTTAGGTGATAGGCTAAGTGGCTTAATGGTTGAGTCATCTGGATTCTCTATTGATAAAAAATGTTACCAGGTCGATTTAAATTTAGGACAAAAACCATTTACTTGTGTGGTATGGTTGGATAATACTTCACCTCCTTATCTTTTAAAAATAGCCACATACCCCCATGTGATTTTAGACTAAAATGTAGCTATTAATACCGTTAATTATAGATGTGAAATGACTATAATACTCTCAAATTCCATAGTTTTTGTTATTTTTTTTTCTCTCATTCTCATACATATAATTTATAATGACTAGTTATAATTAATTTTGATCTAAAATATAATTAATTGTGATCTAAGATATAATTAAATCAAAATTAATTATAAATTCTAATTATTTATTGTAATTCTTATGTTTTTATTCTAATTTTAATTTAATTATGTTTTAGATTACAATTAATCCTAAATATTTAACTATTTGATGTAATTACTAATTTTTTAATCTAGTTTTAATTTAATTATATTTTAGATCACAATTAATTATAAATTCTTAATTATTTATTATAATTTCTTACATGTTAATTTAATTTCAATTTAAATACATTTTAGATCAATTCTTAATTATTGTTTATTTTATATTTTATTTAATTATATTTTAAATCAATTCTTAATTATATTTTATATTTTAGGTCAATTCTTAATTATATTTTATTTTATTTTATTTTAATTAACATATTAATCTAATTTTAGGTTTGGAGAAAATGGGAATAAAATTGTTCTTTTGTTGTATTAATTTCATTCTAATTTTTCAGAAAACAAAACTCACTCTAAAAAATGGTGTGTAATAGACCTTTTATTAGTTTGAATAAAAATACTAATGATACTATTTTAGTTCAAAATTACATAAGAACCTTCTAACTATATTTGAACAAGAGGAGGTAAGGGTCTCCGGGGGCTGAGTTATGGAATGGTCTGGCGTGGTGGTGTTTAATTAAGACAGTTTCTGGGGCTAAGACAGAGGTGAAACTGGGGAATAGGTGAGGCTGCAGCATGAAGTTTTTGTTGCTAACTTTTCTCTTATCTGTTGGAGAGTTACTTTGACTGTTTTGGTTAGTCTTTCACCAACGCCTTGGCTTATGTTAGTACATGATTGAGTATCTTACTTAGTATCAACCTAGTTCAAATTAGGTAGGTATGCAATTATATTTTTTGCTCTCACCTTTTCCTTTATTGATGTATGATCATATATAATTATTTTGTATTATTAGCAATAAAGTTCTTTTTTGTTAATCAAAAAAATGGAGGTAAAATGCTCTAACCCCAAGTTACAATAGGGTAAAATAAATTTAACCCTTAAATTTAATACAGTGAGTCACATCTAAAATAAACAGTAATGATTTAGAGCTCTAAATATTGAGCTCTAAATCCAACGCTAGTGCGGCACACTGTTGCAGTGGGTGGGATCCACTGCCACATCGCTAGTAACACCTCTAATTAGAGGTCTCAAGCTTTATTCTAAAATAAATCAAATATACACATTTAAGTTTTAAACATTTTTGAAAATATTTTTCTCCATACGTAGTATTGTTAGGCAACTATAAATAGAGATTTAGCCTAACTATAGTACTTCTTCATAGTATGCAAGTCATGGAAACCATTTCTCAAAAAAAAAAAAGATAAGGTTGTCAGTCACCTCTAAAATTTTAAGAGTACTTTCGAGATAAATTTTTATGGTGCATTACGTTTTTTCAACAATAATGGTGATAATATTACTTATATCTTGCTTTTTGATATTTTTAAGAGAAATGTTATTTTATTTTCATTCAATTTTTTTTTTTTTTTTTGATTCAATAAGAGAAATGTTATGGATCATTCCCAAATAAAGGGTATGGCTTTTGTCCAGTCCGATCGGACCAGACCGTGCTGTTAGGCCCGTGGAGGCCCACCACGGGTCCCGTTTTGATAATCTGAACCGTTAAATGTATAAACCTCGTCAAGTACTATATGCCTGTAAAAAATCACGTTGATCGGATATCGATAGCTATATGATCAAATCAGTTTCGTATTAAAAAAATTGGACGGTGAACAAATTAACGGTTGACAAAAAACTGTTTTAATCACATAGCTATCGATATCCGATCAACGTGATTTTTTACAGACATATAGTACTCGACGAGGTCTACACATAGAACGGTTCGGATTATCAAAACGGGACCCATGGTGAGCTCCCAAGGGCCCAACAGTACAGTGCAATCCGATCCCGGACTGGACAGAAGCCATATTCCAAATAAATTATATGATGTAAATTTAAAATAAATATGATATGGACCCTTTAAAATGATTGTGATATAGAGATGTGTTTTTCTAAATATTTATCTGTAAACTCATACACTAGAATAACCCATTATTTTAATAGTATTTTATGATATTTTTGTTAGGTGTTTGGATTATCCATAGAATGAGAAATGTTTGGCCAGGATTCATGAACCATAGGCACATGGAGGGGTCATCATGTCTTTTGATAGATTTGTAACCACTCAACTTTTGGTCAAAAGCATTTTTGTTTTAGACACGTGCGTTAAGAGCTAGGTTTTTTTTTTTTTTTTTTTACTTTTTTCTATTTTTGTCTAACTCTCAGTTGATGTCATGAACCAAGCATGGCACACCTTGTTCACAAAAGTCCATATCTTCATCCCAATCTAATTAAAAATAGATAAGTACTTAAATGCCTTTAAAATATTATTATTATATTTATTCATAATCATATAAATTATTACATGTGAATTGGTTATTTTTAAAAAACATCAATCCATTAAGGCCCAATCTCCCACCACGTTAATATAAGTAATTTTAATAATCTTTAGCATTCAAAAAATAAATAAATAAATAAATATGCAATAATTAAATCGGAAGACACGGAGTCTTTATAACTCATTGATCAAATGTTGGTTATTCATTACTTCATATCTATTCCATACATTTAATTTGGCCCCTTCCTGCGAGCAACTTTTATTACTTTTTATTTTTATTTTTATTTTTATTTTTTGTAAGATTATTAATAAAATAATAATACATTAACAAGATTTTAAAAGACCATTCCAACCAAACAACAAAACAAAAAATAAACAACAAATAAATAAATCCGTCAAAAAATGACTACTATTCATGAAAAATCACCAATCTGCTCGAAGATCATGTCTGAAAAGCAAGATCTGTTTCGTCGACATCGTTCCCATCACTACTGTCCAACTCCACCGCCAAAGTACACCTACAATGGTCTAGGAGAAGGCATGAGACAGGAGAAAACCATTGTGGGTGTTGAAAATCAAAAAATTACCGAAATTAGAGGAGAAAACTCTCAAAACTCTTATTTTCGATATAAAAAGTCTAGATCTACACTCTAAAACTGTAGATCTATACTCTTAAAATGTAAATTTACACTTTAAAAATATAAAATGAGTCACCAAAATATTACCAGAACTCTAAAAATGTAAATTTACACTTTAAAAATGTAAAATGAGTCACCAAAATATTACCAGAACACCGCCAAAACACTACCAAAAATCACCAAAGGAGGGCCTCTCTCCGTCAACCTTTTTTACCAGCAACTTGTTAAAAGAAGGCGGCTATAAATCACTAAAGGATTTTATTAATTTTTATATTTCTTATAAGTATTCACACAATAGATAGTGATCTTTACTGTATGAATCTAAAAAAAATTAATGAAATTCATCTACTGTCATATGTAATTTTTCTTTAAAAAAATATTACACAAAAGAATTTTATACAAAAATCTCATTTAGATTGATGTGATTGTGACATAAAAGGGGAAATTACACCAAGTGTATTTTCAAAAAAATATTTATAAAATTATTAAAAATTCTATAATTTTAATTATTAATATTTATAAAAATTTTATTAATTTGTAATTATTTTTAGAGAGATACTGATACGTAATTTTTTCAAATTAAAAGTATAGTGATGTGTCTATTTTGAGAAGTAGATTAAAAGCTAACTTTTTATTATTTTTATTTTTTTTGACTTTTTTTGAAAAATGTTCAAAAAAAAATGCAGAGATGATATGATTCAAAAAAGGCAAAAAACTAATTTTTAACCGTATAAGATTTTCTTTTCTATAACATTATTATTTTTTGGAAAGTTGGAATGAGTACTTTAACTAATGTAGATGGAGTTTAATTTAGATCTACTTCCTCTTTAATGGAAGTGCAATATTACACATTTAAAACATAAAAATACCCATTATTATAATTTATAATTACAAAAATACTACTATTACATCATTTTGAATGATTTTGTACATAATAATTATTATTATTAATTATTTTTTGTATATCATTTTACTATTGAACTACAACCATTATTTCCTTGATCCAAAAAAATATGTAATTTCTTTTATTTTTGTGTTGTTTATATGGTGAAAATGAAATGCAAACGGGTAAACATGATATGAACAAAAGAACAAAAATAGGGACTAAGATGTTACGAAGATTTGTCTAATTGTTTTCGGGGGGACTTCTAGACCCGACTGTCCTTCTAGAGTTTCAAAAACCTTCCATATTGTGAAAAGTTTGCTTGCTTAGAGTTTTTCAAGAATACTTTTTAGAAAATTCTACTTTCTCGTTTTTCATATTTTTTTTGTTTTTACTGATTTTTTCAGTATTTTAAGTAATTTTTTTTCAATTTTTAGACATACCTAACATAAATATACCTAAAAAGTAAAAAATTTGTGAAAAAAAACCTTTTAAAAATTCACTAAATATCAAAAATACAAAAAAAAAAATGAGAATTCAGTACTTTTTTATATTTTTATGTATTTATTAATTTTTAAAAATATTTTTTTACAAATTTTTTACTTTTTAAAAAGTAAAAAAAAAATTTAAAATTTTAAAAATATTTACTAAAAAAAATAGGAAAATCAAAAAACTCAATTTTCAAAAAAATCAATCTAAAAAACTCAAACCGAACAAACTTTTTCCCAATGTTTTTAAATTATATAGTTTTACTTCCTAAGAAAAAAAATTCAAAATTTAGTAATAGCTCTTTAATTTTATTTTTTTTTGAAAAATATTAATAATATTTTAATTCTTATAATATAATTTAGGGGAATTTATTAGGAAATTTTTTTTAAGTATTTGTATTATAATTAATCCATAATATAATATTGTATTTCGATAATCTTATTATTTGAATATTTGATCTATAAAATCTTAATTTTCATATTTAAGATATTTTATGGATAATTTTATCCTTATAAATATTTTTTGAACGGTTAGCAATTTGGTGATGTAAACATTTATATTTTATAATGTAAATGTCCACATTGATAGTGTAAATATTCATATTAATAATATAAATATTCACATCACGGAACATTCACATAGTCAATATAAATATCATAATTATGAATATTTTAGTAACTATGTTACCTATATAAATTATTGAAGCATAAAAAAATAATTTAAATTAATGATTGTTTTAGGAAGATAGTTAAAAGTTGACTTTTTTTAAAAAAAATTATAAAAAATGTGTAAAACATATGAGCAATGATATAACTTTAAATAGGTTAAAATGCGAGAAGAAGTGGCTTTAAGCCATTTTCCCAAAAAAACAAGCCTAAGTGAAACATAAGTGACTGAATAAAATTAATGAATTAGGGAATGGCTTCCCTCCCATCCGTGATTACTGTTGGGCTCGTGGAAACTCACCCAGGATTTTATTTTGATAATCTGAACCGTTTAATGTAAAAAATTTGTCAAGTACTCTATGCCTATAAAAAATTATATTGATCGGATATCGATAGTTATGTGGTTAAATCAAATTTTTTTATGCAGTTTATTTTTCACCATCTATTTTTTTCATACAAAACTGATAAATAAATGGCTTACAAAAATCTAATTTGATCATATAATTATCGATATTCGATTAAAGTGATTTTTTACAAGTATATAATATTCAACAAATTTTATATATTAAACAATTTAAATTATCAAAACAAAACTCATGATAAATCTCACGAATTTAATAATACCTTCTGACCTGATCACAAACTGAAAAGAAGCCATCCCCATGAATTACCCTTACAATTTATTTAATTATATATGTTATTAGGATTACAACTGTGCATCCGTGCCTAAGTGCTGTCCACATGTCACCGTTTTCCCACCATGTCAACAAGTTGTCATTTGCCTTTCGGACAATGCACTTCACATGGGTTCGGTTGGGCTTGGTTTGGCTTTCTTGTTTTTGATCAGCGGTTTGGCTTTCTAATTTTTTAATTATTTTTAAAACAAAATTATTTAGAATAGATTTTTTGAATTTTTTAAATTTTGTGACAAAAAAAATAAAATAATTAGAATTTGAATGTAATATTTTATTTTATTAGATTAAAAATTTTATTTTATTTTTTATAATTATTTTAATCAAAAAGTTTCATCTTAGCTTATGTTAAACGAAGGCATTGTCTGCATAATTTTCCATTTCTTTTTTGCGTGCTCTTTTTAACACCAATAATGTTAGGTATAATGTAAGTTTTTTATTATTATTATTCCTTTTATTCTCTATATAATATTATAGAGATCCATTTTAAATGTAGGTCTTATTATATAAAAATCGAACCTCCACTGCACAAAATTTTTCGGAATAAATTTCTAAACCATTTTTTTAGATTGTTCATTTTAAATATAGACTAATTTACTCAAAAACTCAAAAAATTATACAAAAAAAATAAAAATTTCTTCTCATTCTCTCTGTTTGTGTAATTTTTTTCATAAAAACTTGAAAAGTAGTCATTCCTATATATATAAATTTTTCCACTTCATATTTTAATTAAAAAATTATTAAACAAAATTGAAAAACTCAACTCACACTTCTTCTTAAAACCCAAGTTTTAAGGAGAGAAAAACTGAAACCTAATAACTAATACAGATACGGCAACTCCAGACGATATAAGGCATAAAAAAATAAATAAATAAAAAATAACCTATTTTCCCAAACGATCCTAAGTTACCTGTCAACACGCAACGCACACGTAAAATACTCATCACAGCTTGTAGACCTCACAACTTACTATTCCATAAGTCATTTTCATCAACAATGGATTATATGCATGAGGAAATGATAATCCAAACTCAATAAATTATTTAAGTTTTAACCAATTGGCAGTTGAGGTTCAATTTTTTTAAATCTTAATTTGAGAAGCTTGTGAGTTCTCTAAAGTCCTGTTTTGAAAATTTGAATTATTTATTTTTAAAACTCTCAGCATATATTTTCTATAAAAAAAAAAAAAATTAGATCTATTCAATAGAGGTATTTTTTTAATTTTATTATATTTGTTTCTAAAAAAATGAATGATTTATTTTCAAAAACATATTTGTAGTCCATTTCTTCAAAGACAAATACGATAAAATAAAAATGTTATGGTTATCCAATCAATCTAATTTTTTTTATAAATGATATCTATTAAGACTGTATAAAATGAACTATTCAGATTATCAAAATAGAAACTATGATATATCTCATGGGCCCCACAAATTCTCTGAACTTGAGAGAACTCCAACTCAATTGGAAATACTCCAAGCCTGTTATGCAAGAATGTAGTTTAAATCACATAATAAATAATAACAAAAGAACAAATACACATACAAACACAAGATATACGTGGTTTAGCAAGACTGGCTTATCAGCCTAGACCCTCCACTTTCGTAGAAGGCTCCTTACAATACTTTGAATATACAATAAATACAAGACATCTCACAACAGTATCAACTAAGGGATTTTGAGGACTTTTTCATAAAATGTTGTTGTGGTGTAGATAGACTTTGTTTTTTTTTTTTATAAGTGAAAATCAATTATTAAATTAGTACTTATGGGAGTCAGTCACTCCACTTTTGCAAAACACTAAATACTTACCTACTAATTCAACTCTCTCTTAGAGAGAGTTGAACCATGACTTCCCCTTTAGACTAACCCTTAGAGAGTCATGGTTGTGAGTGTAGATAGACATGTTGGTATGGACCAAGGGGATTGGTTTGTTGCTGAGCAATTGCTGCCACTTCATTTGCTGAGAGGCCATGTATGCAACTTCATAGTACACGAGTGATGAGGGTGATTGGGGAGGGTAGGGGAGGGCAAAGCCATGACAATATAAGTGTTGTTCTAAGTTGATTTTTATTGGTTAAAATAGTATAATTTATGACATTTATCTCTTTTCTTCTAAAGTGAATAGACCATCAAATAACTTCTCATCTCAGGTGGCTTCAGATAGTAGAGGACGTTGTTGGTAGCTAGGGTTAGGATTTTTGATGAAGAAATGATACTTTTGTCTTTTTATTTTTTGAATTTTACTTTTGACTTTTGATTTAGTTTTATTATGGGGGTGTTTGGGAGAAAGATTAAGTTAAAATAGTTCACTAAAAAATAAAATAAGTTAAATAATTAATAAAATAAAATAAAATAGCACATCCAATCATTTTATTTTTCTTTCACAATCATCAAATCAATTACAAAAAGAAAAAAAAAATCAATTAACTTCTCAAACACAATTATTTTAGTTAGGTTAAAATAGTTAAAAAGTCAAATAATTAATTAAAATAACCAACTTTCCAAACAAGGCCAATGTTGCAAAGCAACTTTGTGTTAATTTTGGTGGTTTTTTAACAAAACAAAAGAAAGTACTAAATAATCGAAATCACAAGGAGTTTTTTTTTATTATTATTTTTATTACTCAAGTAGAAGAAGGGTGTGAAATGCATGTCGTCAAGAGGATAAAGTGAAATTTATTCAAAACAAAATATGTGAATAAGGAGTAATTATCATATGTTCCAGGAATTTGATATTAGCTATGTTCCCAATTAATGGTAAGGAATTAAACGAATATATAATCTGAATAATAAGAAGATTGTAGACAAAGAATAGCATTTCATTAATTAGACACATGAACACGTAGTACTCCTAATCTATTGGATAATTTATCTTGAATCATACTCGTTCATGATGTAATTCACATCACATTAATTTTTTAATACTGATAAATAATTGGGCATTAATTTCTTTGTTTGGATAATGAATATAGGTATTAAGCAATGCAATTTACAAGAGTGTGGAGCACAGAGTGATAGTGAACTCAGCAGAAGAGAGAGTATCGCTGGCGTTCTTCTACAATCCAAAGAGCGATTTACAGATAGAACCAGCGAAGGAGCTGGTGAAACCAGACAAACCTGCACTGTACAAGGCCATGACTTTCGACGAGTACAGGCTTTTCATTAGGACCAGAGGTCCCCGAGGCAAGTCACAAGTTGAGTCTTCTCTTATAAAATCCCCCAAGAGCAAGCTTATCACTGCTGCTCCTCCTGCTACTGCTAAGTGTTGTACTGTCTGACCTTTTTTAATAATAAAAAAAAAAATTGTACAAATTCACATGTGAAGAAAATGAACAAACCCTTTAGTGGTGAACGAATTAATTCTATTAAAAAAAAAATTCTTGTAATTATATATATATACTCATTGGTATACCAATTAATACGTCTAGTTTTATTTAATTATATAGGTTTTTATTTTAGAAAAAATTAAAAATTAGTAGATTTTTTAAGCATAATTACATATTCATAAAAAAAAAATTTATGATTTTAATTAGTATTAATATTTATAAAATTTATCATTGATTTGTAATTATTTTTTTCAAAACACTACTGATTTGATATTTTTCCAACTCCTTTCAAAACTTCAGGCTCTATTTGTTTGAGCTTTGGAACTTTAGTTTCAGTTATCGGTTCTCACGTGGTGTTTGTTTACAACTTTCAAAAATTAATTCCACACTCATTTTTGAAAACTCAATCGAATGCGAGAAAATTTGGACTAACCGGTCATCCCACCAGACGTTCGGGCCGGTTGACCGGAACAATACAAATTTTTTTTTTGACACGTTAATTTTTACATATTCAACAAAAAATATTTTCTAAATTTTTTAAAAAAATTTATGAGCTTTAATATAAATTTGAGTTGTGTATTTGGTTATGAGTTGTAAGTTTTTGTATCAAATATCATATGTCACATCAAAAATTCCTTACTCAATTCAAAACTCTTTTCAAAACTCATTCACCAAATAAATTTTCTACACTCAAATCATAATTTCAAAACTCACAAACTCAAAATATAATTCCTATTCTCAAATCATATTTAGAAAACTCTACCAAACGCTACCTTAATATCTCAATACCTCTCAAGAATTCACTTTGTAGGCCCCATGTAACCACGAAAGCGTTCTTAACTGTTTATCTTATAAGTTCGTAAAGAACATATATGTAAAAAATTAATTTAATTAGATATCGATAGACATATTAATTCACTATAGTACATAAGAGTTTTAGAAATTAAATTTTTTAGTCTCTAAAAGTGAAAATTTTGTTGCAAATGACATTTAGGGACCAATTTCTAGCGTCGTGAGAATAGTCGCTAAAAGGTCATCCCAATAAATCAAAAACAAAGCTTTTAGCGACAAAATTTTGAAAATGATACAAATAAATAGACTTTTAGGAACAAAATAATTTGGTCTCAAAATGATTTATTTTTTTACACAAAAAGTTTGGTCCCAAAATGAAAATAATTCATCATTAACGTCCAATTTTCATTGCTAAAAATATAATAACAACACTTTTCGTAACAAAAATATTTAGTTCCTAAAAAATAATTTTATCCCTAAATTTTGTTATCTAAAACTTCAATTTTTTGTAGTGATTATCTTGTTTTATTTTATAAAATGGATGATTTTAATTTAAAATTCTATTTACCATCCATTTCATAAAATAAAATAGGATTAGTTAGTGTATCTATTGATATTTGATTAAATTTTATATATATATATTCAAGGCCTATGAACAATTTCAATTAAGGATAAATTATCAAGAGATCTTACTTGTAAGACTTATTAATCATTAAATCTTATTGATAAATTTATTAAATAATCTCTGTTATTTTTATAAATAAATAAATTTAATTAATAAGACTAACATGAGTCGCGTAGAACCTACAAAACAAAACCTTGAAAGGTATGAGGAAGATAATCTTGAGGGCAACTACCCTTCATGATTTTGTCATATGGTGGTCTGTGAAGATTCTGATCATGATGCATTATTGTCATACTTTGCACCGATAATTAAGGCATGGTTAAAAATATATATCTACTTTTTTAAAAAATTGTAGTATTCAATTAGGTCAACAAGCACATGACAAACGCCCTTGACCATATTAAAAACTAGGAAACCCTAGTGCAGCTTCTTAGGCTATTAAAAATTCACGTAATTTTATCATAAATTTTTATAATATGAATTACAAAATTTTAAATATTTTGTTATGTTAATTTGTATCAATGTTACATATTTAGTGATTGATATTACAAAATTTTATAATAAAATTATGTCAATTTATGATAGGATGCATATGGTATGTACCCCTAAGACAGTGCACACCATAGACTTGCTGTAAAACCTATTGATACTTTTAAAATTTGTTTAAAATATGAATTATTTTTCATAATTTGAAATTTTTTAAATATTTCGTTGCCCAAATTTTTTAATAAAAAAAATTACTAAAAAAATAAAATTTCTAACTGCTCTTTTACACAATAATAAAATTACTTGAATTATTAATTAAAATAAATTTCTGACATCATTGAAAACTGTTAATTAATTTGATAATTTATTAATAAAAATAATCATTTGTTATGAAATTTGAACCTTCAAAGGGCTGAATGTAATTTTCAAAATTATAAGAAATAATTCATATTTTAAGTAAATCTCAAAAAAACATATTTATAATTTATCCAAAATTATTTGTCACATTTTATAAAATTTAAAAAAAAATGTGTTATATCAGTTATTTCATTGATTTATATATATATATATATAATATATATATATATATAAATGCTATAATATATGACTCTTTCGGGGTTTTTTCTTTTTTATTTTGTATATATAAAATTTCTTCCCAACACGAAATCACTTACAAGCATTTATTTGATAATTTAAATTTAACATTTAAAATTGAATATGTTAAGTAATAATCAATTAAGTTTATTTGATAATCATAATTGATATCACTTATAATTTTAAATTAGTCTTAAAATTTAAGTTAAAAATTGAGAAAATTTAAAATCATATGAAATTTACTTAATTTTATCTGAATTTATAAATACTAAATACAAGTGTCAACATAAGCTATCACAAACTCACAACCCACCACCATCAACATCACTATTACCACCGTCACTACCACTACCACTATGCCACACCGCAACCACAACTACTCCTTCATCACCATTGTCATTATTACAATAAGCATCACCATTATTTCACTACCGACATTACACCACCACTATAGTCGTCACTACCCTTACTACCATCACTATAATAACTATTACAACTCTTCACCTCCATAACCATTGCCACCATTTCAATAATTACCATCATCATTCCACCACTGCAATAACTACCATCATTATATCACTGCCGCTACTCTTTTTTTTATTTTCACGATATTACTGTTCCACCATCACCACAACCACTATACATCTATTTTCACCATCTTTGCCATTAGTGCTATAGCTAACGTCACCACCTCCTCCACTATCACCAACTCACTATCACAATATAAAAATTAAAATATATAATTTGAAAATAATAATTTTCAAATTTCATCTTGTGCATATCAAAATAATTTATTTTAGTTTAGCACTTAACTTTTTATCAGGCAGCTTTTTAGCTTAAAAAATTCAACATTTAGTTTTTAGTAATTAACTTTTAATTTTTAGTTTTTCAATTTTATCAAATACCGCCGAAGCAGTGATAAGAAATTTAGTATAAACATTTTTTTAATTCGAAAAAACATATATATGTTTCCCAATTTTACTTTAACTCCGATTAGTTTGAGAAGAGTTTTTTTTACTGAGTTTTTAATTTTTTAACTAAAATATGAGGTCACAAAAATTAAAGTGTTTGGAAATAATTTTTTTTAATTTTTTATAATATAAAATATAAAGAGTAAAGAAAATAAATCAGTGTGTTTGGTTTCAATTTTCTAAAATTTGAGTTTTTCTTTTTTCCTTCTTTTTTTTGTGTGTTTTTAATGGATATTTTAAAATTTTAAGCAATTATTTTACTTTTTTAGATACACCTTACTTAGATATATTTAAAAAGTAAAAAAATATTTTAAAAAATCAATAAATAAACAAGAATATGAAAAATATAATGAATTCTTGTATTTTTTTGTTTTTGTATTTTTGGTATGTAGTGAATTTTCTAAAGATTTTTTTCACAAATATTATACTTTTTAAGTGTATTTATGTTAAGTATATCTAAAAATTAAAAAAATTACTTAAATATTAAAAAAATTCAATGACAACAAAAAAAAATATAGAAAATAAAAAAATTTAATTTTTTGAAAAGTGAATTCTGAAAAATCAAACCAAACAAGCTGAATAGGATTCTTTAACTTTTCTGACTTTTAAATTTTTAATTTTAAATTTTTTTTAATAATTTTCGAACTTTTTTTTTTTTCTAATCCTTTACAGACAATAAAATGAGTAATAAATATGCATAATTTTATATTCAAAAATGATTGAGACATCCAAATGTGTGGACTCCTATGACCTCCAAAATAATCTGGACCACTCATGTATTTATTTATTTTTATTTTTTTCCTATCTCTTACACATTGAGTAAATCAAATCATTTTAAAGGTTATGAGAAACTCAAAATTTAAATTATCTGCAAGCATGATCATTTTGATTTTTCTATGGCTCAATAATGTTTTTAAAGTCAAACAGTTTTAACTACTAGCCTCCTTCCCAAAATGGTATTTCTAGTTCACAAATATAAATAAATAAATAAAAATAAACAACCACGTGTTAGTTACTGTGTATTTTTATTTATTTATTTTGATATGATCTTTAGTGTGTATTTTTTGTCATATTCAAAGGTGTGATGAAAAAAGGGGCCTTTTCTAATATTCTTTGTATATAATATAGTTTCATATAACATGAAATAATTCACAATAGTAATTTGGGATAGAATTTTCACATGTGAGCCGGTGAATGAAATTTAAGATAAACTTATAATGTCTCATGCGGAAATAAATCAAGTTAAAAAGTCTAAAATAAGTTTATTAGTTCATAATTATGAACTTTTCAAAATGAAATCTAATGAAAACATTTCTCACATGTTTATTCATTTTAAAAATATTATAAATGGTTTAAAATCTCTTGGTAAAACATATACTAACGTTGTGGTTGTAAGAAAAGTACTCTAGTCGTTTCCTAAAAGTTGGGAGACAAAAGTCATCACTATCACAAAAGCAAAGGACTTATCAAAGTTAAGTCTAGACGAGCTGTTAGGATCTCTTCTAACACATGAGATCA